GGGCAATGACTTTGTGTGAGTTACTCCAGCCATAAGGATAGAGAAATAAGGTCTTTATTGGAAAGTCTGACAACTCAGTACAATGTGGAAAATTCTCCTCTTTTAAATAAAACCATGAGTTACAAGAAATTGCAGAAGGCTAAAAAAGAAGCAGCAGTATGTCGAAACATGTTGATATTTAGTTTTGATTAAAAGGAGAGCAACGAAAAAAACCACTGCTGAGACAAGACAGTGCAAGGAACTGGAACCTACACACAAGTAACACTACACTGACTTTTCACCGCCCAAGAGGAGATAAACTTGAGTATAAATTCCACTAAAACATGTGATATAATAGATACATATTACTTATCTACATAGCAATGATGCAGATAAACTCACGGTGTGTAATTTTTATACTGTAAATACAGGTTCCAGTAGAATATTCAGCCTAAGACAGAGTAAGACCACAGTTGACTGAGACAAGGAATTTGCTGCTGCAGAGATGTTTCTTTCTCCATCATGTTTTAAGAAAAAACACTCATTAAACCAAACCAGTATTTTTCTAAGCAACTCGTTTTACAGAAAGAAAAAAAGAGACAGAAGGTACAATGCTTCCTGATAACCAGTCGTAGCAGCTTCTGATACAAAGGAGAAATAAATTTTTTAAAAAAAAACACAAGATTTTAGGATCTCTTCTGGGTTTTTATACAGCTTAAAAAAGTAATATCTCTGTATATTAGCATGCTAACAAAATGCTTTGTGGAAGGGCATTAGAACAGGGTCAAAGAACCAGGGCTCAAGAAACTGCTTAAAGCCTTACATGCTCCAAACAACTCAAGCAATGTGAAGAAAACAGACAACTTCGTCCTTCCAGCAGAGTTTCCACCTGCCAGCAATGCTTCCCCTCAGAAGAGAGAGCCTTTCTGGGAGGTCATCTAACAACTGACTGCCGCAAGACTGACCTTTCCAAGTACAGAGCTGTCTTCCCTAGTGCAGGCGTGTCGCCGGACACCCTGCTCTGCACCCCACATGAAGCAGCAGCTGCCTGAAATCCTGTGGAGCGACACATCACTCAACGTGCTGAACACAGTGCTACAGCAAACACAGCTCTTCTCTAAACCACACAGCTGATTTTCTTCTCCTAAAGAAACCAAGAGTGGCAAGGTACCTCTGCCTTCCTGCAGATGCAAACCTGGATACAGGGAATCCCAGGAAAAACGCTCCAGGTCTACACCGGGGGTATTTCACTGCTGCCTCGCGCAGCTGCCCGCGGGAGTCATGAGGGCAAACTGAATCAATTAGGTCGGAAAAGACCTCTCAGATCATCGAGTCCAACCTATGGTCGAACACCACCATGTCAAGCAGAGCACGGCATCAAGTGCCACCTCCAGTCTTTCCTTAAACACCTCCAGGGAGGCTGACTCCCCCACCTCCCTGGGCAGTACATTCTAACGTTTAATCACCGTTTCTGTAAAGAAATTCTTCCTGATGTCTAACCTAAACCTCCCCGGCCGCAGCTAAAGACTACGTCCTCGCGTCCTGAAGCAGCAAAGCCAGCCCTGGAGCTGGCATCCTGCGGAGACGGCCCGACACCTCCCGCCGGGATCCCGGCTGCCAGCAGACGCGGCACCGCTCAAAGCGAGCGCTCCTCGCCCACGTCTGCGAGCTGTGCCTTCCCCCTGCCACCAGCAAGGACCTCTGTAGCTCCGTTTTTAGGTCGGGCGCTGCAATCCCCCGGCACTGCCCTGCCGGCCCCGCGGCCCGGGGCAGCCTCTCCCGGCTCTTCTGCCGCCGCCCGCCTCGGCTCGCGTCCCGAGGAACAAGGAAAAGCGCATCCCCAGGAGCCGCCTCCGACGCCGGGACATGCTGCTCGCCCCTCGCCCGGCACACCGAGTCCCCCCTCTGCGCCCCGCAGTCCGGCCCGGGCGATGCCGCCCGAGGCTGCCCCGGGCCCGGTGGCTCCCCCGGCCCGTGCCGGGGCTGAGGGGCCAGGCTGGGGCGGGGCTCACCTTTGAAGAAGCGCAGAGCCAGCCCGTACAGCTCCTCCAGCGCGAAGCCCCAGCTCCGCTCCAGGCTCAGCGCCGCCTCCTCCGCCGCCTCGCCGCCGGCCTCCGCCGCGCCGGGAGCACCGGGGCCCGGCCGGCCTCGCCCCGCCGCCGGCTCGCCCTGCGCCGGCCGCGCTTCGCAGGGCGGCACCTCGGCGTTGGGGCTCAGCGTCAGCCCGTCCACCGAGACCTCGAGCCGGTCCGAGCTCAGCACCGCCGCCATCCTCCGCCGCCTCCCGCCCGCCCTCCGCCTCCTGCTCCGCTGCGGCGGCCACGTCCCGACTTCCCGTCCCCTCCGACCCGGATCTTCCGGGACCGCCCGCGGCCCCGCCCCGCGCGGCCCCGCTCCCGGGGCACGGGAAGCCCCCCGGCGTGGGGCTGGAAGTGAGCTCGTCCCCTTCCCTCGGGGTCACTGCCCTCACCAGCAGTTTGGGGAGCTGCCGGCACCCATCCACAGGCCTTCGCCCCCTGCAGATCCGGGGTGACAGCAGTGTCCTGGGGGAGCCGCCGCTGGACGCTTTGTCAGTGCTTTTGGGTTGCTCAGTAGAAGGGATAATGATTTTTCGGCAGCGTTATGTCGCAGACTGAAAGTATAGGAAAGACAAGGAGCTACTGGAGCGGGTCCAGCGAAGGGCCACAAAGATGATTAGGGGTCTGTAGCATCTCTCGTGAGTGAGCTGGACCTGTTTAGTCGAGAGAAGATGGAGAGAGGATCTCATTAATGCATATAATATCGCAAAGGCGGGTGCCAGGAGGATGGTGCCAGACTCTTTTCAGTGGTGCCCAGCGACAGAACAAGGAGACATAACCATGAACTAAAACACGAAGTTCCACCTCAACATGAGGAAGAACTTCTTTACATTGAGGGTGGCAGAGCACTGGGACAGACTGCCCAGGGAGGCTGGGGAGTCTCCCTCTCTGGAGATGTTCACAACCCACCTGGATGAGCTCCTATCACCTGCTCTAGGTCACCGTGCCTTGGCAGGGAGTTTGGACTGGATGATCTCCAGAGGTCCCTTCAAACCCGAATTATTCTGTTATCCTGTTATGTCACAGACTGAAATCCTTTTGCTCCAGCAAGAAGGTGGTGTGGGGTCTGTCGCTGACCTCTCTTCCTCCTCTTCCAGGAATCGTGCTTCAGGCCTCACACGGGAAAGGAAAGAAATGAGCTAGAGAAGGGAAAAAAGAGCACAAGGCAATTACTTCTCCAAGAGCTGTATCTGCAATTAGCTCACTCCCTTGTGACCATGAAACACCACTCACAATACTACTATTATCATGTGCTGTGTAAGGGGAGAGAGTTGCTCCCATGCATGGCTGAGGTTTATTCCCAGCACAAGCAATCCTCCTTGCAGGATTTCGAGAGGGGCTGTGTTAGCATGGAGTGCTTTCGGTCACTTTTCTCACCCAAACCGAGATGCAGGCTGCACACCTGGGAAGTGGCGCATCCCTGTCTGGTGGTTCGTGAAGCCAATGCAAAGGAAGAGAACAGCACAGCTCTGCAGCCTCCTGAAACTCGGGGGTTTGGGGGTGGGGAGTCCCTCCTGTCCCCAGGCTTCACAAAATCCTGCACCCCTTTCTGGGGTTATCCCCTGAAGTCCGTCACATTGCCTAGTTTATCTACCATTCAAGGTAGATTTGGATCCATCTGTTTCTCTCTCAGGAATGTTGAAGAGATTTTATTGTCACACTTATAAAATGCTTTGAAGCCTTCGGAAGGTGAAAGGGAGAAGAAATGTAAAGTACTTAATTTCCAGTTAGTATTTCTTGAGAGACCACACAGGGCACTGTTTACAACACATGAGGCAGAATTCGATTCAGATGATGAGTCACCTAAGCTTCAAAAGAAATTTTGCAACTAATTGGAAATCCTTTGTAGCTCCTTCACTAGCATTTTTTTCTTATTGAGGATCAAATGTAACACCGTATTGTTTGCTTTTTTCCTGCCAAAGACTGGAAAACAGGGGTGTACTGTCCTCTTTTGATGGTTGGAGCTCTCCAGAGCACACAGTTCTCTGTATTGACCATTTGGTGCTACCTCATGGACCAGACTAGCAGCATAACAGATGATTTTGTCTCCTCATACAAGCCTGCACCCTGCCTTATAAGTCTGTCACTTCAGCATCCAACTTCACTTTAACATTTAATATTTCATTTATAAAATCACTTGCATTGAAATATCTGTTTTCAAAGTTTGATCTGGCACATTTCCTGCTTGTCTTGAGGAATTAACACTTCATAAATATTTTTTTATGGCATAAATTCTACACTTCAATCCAAAGTTCCTGCTTTAAGAAACTCTAAATTCTTTATCCTTAAAATGCATCCTTAGAGTAAAATGCATCCTTGGGGATCTGACTGATCCCTATTGATTTGCTGTGTTTCACCCATATGGAAGAAAATTCTCATTTTATTTACTATTAAAACCAGAGGTGTTTCTGCCTCATGGTGGGAGACTGGTCTGAAACCAGACAGCCCTTAGTTTATGTGTTTGGAGGTCAAGCTAAATCCAGGATGCTGAAAAGCTGGTTTGGGGAATAATTACAGAAAACTGATTTATCTCCTGACAGGCTGTCTCCTGCAGCAAATGTTTGGTATGCTTAGCAAATGTGAGACTATGCCTCTCTTCTTGTGCCAGCTTTGCTATACTGTGCAAGAGGCATGTGAGCTGGCAGCAGTGGAGCAGGTTCCTTCATGAAGGGCAGCATAAACTCTTGGAAGGATCCCAGCTGGAGAGTGTAAGCAAGATGTCTTTGCTTTGCCTCCAGTCAGGGAGCCACCAAGCAGCACAGAGCTGCCCTCAGTGGATCTCAGCCTCCCTTCCCCATAGCACAGCTGCTCTGGAGAGTGTGGAATGGACATGTTACATTGACGTTCCTCTGTTTCATGGTGCTTCCAAGTTGGATTTACAAATACGGAAACTCGCTGTTACACTGTGGTGTCAGTAAATGCTGTGATGTGCAACAAGGTGAGTGCCTGATCAGGTGTAGGAAGGGGATTAGCTGCGAGATGATATATTAGAAAAAAATGGAAATTCAAATTTTGAGAGGCGTCAGGAAGTTCTGGTCAGTGATAATTTAATAAAAAATTATTAAATATTTTTCCAGAAGAAAATTCTGCATTTTCAGAGATAGTTATCTGTGTTGCAGCGTAGAATCCTGGCTCATCTGGCATAAAATAAAGATTTATCCAAAGCCACCTATCCAGGCAGCCATGGGGCCCTGAGCACGTCCTCCTTACTGCTGGAGGTCTGGCTGCCAGGGCTCAGGACCTGCCATGGGGAGCACTCCCAGGCAGCTTGATCAGGAGGCCACTGCCCAAACCAACACTGGCTCCCTGGCCCTTGGGAACTCCTTCAGCTGAAGCTCTTGTCCTTGGCCCTCACCTGAACTATGGCCACAGGCCCCCAGGTCCTCACCTCATCTTGCACTCCCAGCCCCCTTGGCTCCCTGGCCCTCAAGAAGCAGCTGGTCCTGGCTGTTCCCTGCCAGGCAGCCAGAATGACTTCCAACGCCTTCAGTGAATTGCTCATCAATCCTGTAAATGAAGACATATTTCCCAAATGATTATGACAAATTCCCAATAATTTATGTATTTGAGAAAACCCTGAGCTTAATTCACAGATAAGATGAATATGCTCAGTTCAGCCAGTAAATTATTCACTTGTTTCTTGGAACAGCGGGTTCTGCATGGGAAGGGAAACATGGAGGAAATACAAGTCCCAAGAGGCAGTCTAGTCCAGCAACAGTGCCCTCCAGTAAGAAATGTAGACCTAGAAAGTTTATAGAGAATAAATTAACTATTTAATTCAAGATGCTGAATGTTTTGACAGTTAAAAATACCAAGCTACTCACTGCAATTATACAATGAAGCATTAAAACATTCATAGGACATTAGCCTCATGTAAACAAACAGCTCTTCCACTCTTCCTGGTGCAAGAGTGAGGAACCTACTTCTTGTAGGTACCAGACCACCAGCCCTTCCTCCCAGACACCCCTGGGAGAAACCTGCGTGCTTCCTGTGGCTTTGGCTGTCCTTTGGAAGAGTTCCACTTGCACAGTGGTGTCTAACAGAGGAAGGAGCCCCAATTTGAAAGATGTGGCCTAATGTGGTGTTTGCTACAGCAACGGCTGCTAAATATTTGATTGTCTCAAATGAACATCTCCGAGCAGCCAGGTCTGGCACTGTGCTATGGGCTCAGAAATGCAAATCACTCACTGTGGAAATATTGTTATCAGCTTCTCAGGAATGGCTGTGTTAAATAAACTGGGTGTGAACATCACTCCCAGCCCTAGTGCTATTGTACCAGCCCAAAGCTCCCATAGCTGGGAAGGACTGGAGTGTCTGGAAAGAAAGGCTACGTGTACCTCTGGGAAGATGACCAGGTTAATGGATGAATTAAATTCTCCAACATTTGGCAATTGAATAGTATTTGTGAGTAAGTATTAACAGAATTGACCTTTTTCTAGAACATGACAGCTCTGTTTCTCTTTTTATTGTCTTCTTTTTCTATTCATGAGAGTTGTACTCACTGAACAGACCAAGACCAGAAGGAAGAAAGTGTTCAAGTTCTTTTACTTTAATTACAGGCTTCCTCTTTGTCTGCCTGCCTTTCCTTACAGGACAGATACAAGCTGTTTGGTTAGGAGCTGATCTGACACTGTAAAACCACCCAGGGAGACACCGTTACAGTGGATTCCAAGCTCTGCTAGCAACACAAAGGAAAACAAATTCGGTTTGTGCTTATGTCTGATAAAATCTAGACTAAGAGTATATGTAAATATTTTTGTTTTCCCCTTGTAGTTCTCTTGATCACAGTCATTTTATAGAAATGAATTTTCTTTTTTTTGAAGCATGCTGGAAAATATCTTTGTCCCAGGACTTACAGTGAATCATAGAATCATCATTATCATCTGCCAGTGTTGTCCATTTTGGTGACCACTCAACCTCATCTACCACTGAGCTGCTTTTTTTGTGTCTGCTTGTTGGTTTGCCTTAAGTTTAAGAGCTTGTGGTGACCCTAATGTATGTGTGACAGACATCAGATATTCTCAGTAACTTTTTACAAGTTCAGGACATGTTAAACTCAAGGATCACACACCAACCATTCATGTGTGCACAGTAAATTGGGTTTGGACCTATTGGGTCTGGAACAACAAAGGCACAACAGGAGTCACAGAGAGAAAATTCTCTAAGTCATTTGTATTACTACTTGTTTATGCAAATGTCTTATGTCTGTGGAGGAAAATAAGCTAACTCAAGATTTTATGTTCCCGCTTTTCAGTGAAGCAAGAGAGCACTCTAAATCCAATTCTGCAAGACCTCCACCACAGTCTCCTCTGAATTGAATAGTTTCAGTTTTTCTAGGAACTAATCACAGAATAGCAGAATAATTAGGGTTGGAAGGGACCTCTGGAGATCATCCAGTCTCACACCCCTCCCAAGGCAGGGGTGTGACACAGGAACATGTCCAGGTGGGTTTTGAATGTCTCCAGAGAGGGATACTCCACAACCTCCCTGGGCAGCCTGTCCCAGTGCCCTGCCATCCTCAATGTAAAGAGGTCCTTCCTCACGTTGAGGTGGAACTTCTTGTGTTTTAGTTTGTGACCACTGCTCCTCCACCTGTTGCTGAACACCACCAAAAAGAGTGGCACCAACCTCTTGGCACCCGTCTTTGAGATATTTCTATGCATGAATGTGGTCCCCTCTCAGTCTTCTCTTATCCAGACTAAACAGGCCCAGCTCCCACAGTCTCCCCTCATAAGAGAGATGTATTTATGAAAACTGAAAACCTGAGAGAGAAGGGGAAAAAAATAGAGAAAGGTAATTTTCCAAGTAGAAACCTGCATGCAATTTCTGAGTGAAAACCTCTACGCAGTTTGTGTCAATGCCTGAAAATAACTGCGATTCCATTTTCTTGTTCCTTCAGGAGGTCTCCTTTAAAGCATGGTCTGCTGTTGCCTGGCACACAGAAGCAAACAGTGCCATGTGCTGCACGTCCTGTTGGACAGCTCTGAAAGACAGCAGTAGAGCTGCAAGTTTGGAAATGACTTGTGGTTCCTTCTGGGGCCTCTCTACAGCAGGTGGATAATAGTTGTCTCTGTTTTGAAGCCAATACTGTTCACTGCGCTGCTGCCTTGCATTTATGTAGTTATTTATGGTGACGTTCACACTGATTTCTCTAATTTACTATGTGAGGTGTAGAATAACAGTCAATCGGATGTAGGATCTGGCAATACATTTTCAGCTATGTCAGCAAATACTGCTGGAATGGCATTTATTGACAGAGTGCTAGAGTGACTCCTGAGGAAACATACACATGCTAAAGTCCATCTTCACTAAATATTCTCATTTTGACAGACAGCAAACATCCCATAGCACGGACACAGTTATACCAGCTACAGGTGACCGTAAAAGAACAGTTCAGTCTAATAAATGAAGTGATACCATTTAATTATCTTAGGCTGATATGATTGCATCTGCTGCAGTGTAACTGTGTAAACAGTCACGCCTTCCACAGGCACATGAGCTGGGAGAAGTACTACAGCACTTTTATCAATAAGTCTTTGCCAAACAAGATACGGCAGGAAATTTGAGCACTTCCTGAATTTAACCAGCTCCCCTTAATAAAGTGATTTTACAGAAGAGAGAACAGGGAAATTGATGCAATTAGCAATTGCATTTTTGGCTATCTGCCCAGAGAAAACTGAACCAACAGCCAGATGAATGATTTCTATCCATGTAAATTTAGAGCACATATGGATGGTCTTTTAAAACACCTCCAGAAAGCGTTTTATCCAGAAAGATACCTCTGTGTCAGGGTCTGACCCCAACTAGCACATGTCCCCAAAGGGGACAGGAATGACACATGCCTGCCCCTGACTCTGATGCTCCAGACATGTCCTCCTCAGCCCTGTGCTACATACCAGCTTCTTCCCTCTTGTGTCCTTTCCTTTTGGTTTTATTTTCAAATGAGCTGTACCTACCTTTGGGACTCCAAGCTGTCCAGTGGCACAGGAAATGATAGGCAGAGAGACTTCTTAGCAAAACTACTGACCCTCCTGCATCTCTCTTGGGAAGAGCAAGGCTACGTGTGCAATACATGGCATTATCCGTGTCACTCCTTCCATTCAGCAAACAGAAGGATAACACACCTTTCAAAAGCATGCATTAAACCTGTCCCTCTTCATCTAATTATCAGATGCGGTCTTTAATGGAGACCATGCAGCTGGTTCCCATCTGCTCAGCTGTGGCTCACTTTTGTATGTTATTGTTTGGGGTTGTTTCTCCTGCTTTGGGTTAAATTAAGAATGAGGTTTTCAGAAATGGCTGCAGCTCTGGCCTGCTCCCAGCCCCACACCACACACTGCCATCAACATCCTGGTTGCCAGCTCTTAAGCTCATCGGACCTCTCAGCAATCCCTCTCACCTTATCATGCAGACAGAAAATTATTCACTTCCTAGGTTAATTCTCTGCTGGCTTGGAAAGCAGGCCTGGTTCACCGAAGGGTCAGGAAAGCACTGGCAGCAACAAGAACATGCTGCCAGGGGCAGGGAAGCGAGGATGGGTTGTCCCTTTGGGGGCAGCTTGCAGTTGGAGCTGTGAGCTAATGCCAAATAGCGGTGGTCGCACTCCACCACTGCTCCCAGCTGCGTTTTCTGCCCTTTCCCTTGCACCAAATCTACTGTTGGAGTGGCTTCAGGGTGAGTTGATTCAGCTGGCTGATCTGGCTGAAAACTACTCATTTTTATGGCATGGTTACTTTGCTGCTGTTGTCAGCCAGATGAACAGATTCACCCTGTGGCCACACAGCCACTAGATGCAATGTAAGGAAAGTAACACAAACAGGAAACACAGACCAGCTTGTAGATACCTCAGCTGCAATACCAAACTGCAACCTAAAGAGCAGCCACACCGATCTAGCCATCCTGCTGTTCCTGTAATAGGCAGATAACTAGATAGTTTGCTTCCCTACCTGTGCTCTTCTGCTCTAAAGAACATCTTTTCAGTACAGGAAGTGTATTTTTATCTCCCTTATTCTGTGTGAGTAGAATTGCACTCCAGCAGGCAATTTCAACCTCTTCTGATTTGTGGACTGCTAATGGAGAGGCAGGTCCTGCACAGAGGGACTAAATCTATTGACTTCCATTCTTCTGTGGACTTTGGAAGTTACTCACAGTGGCAACAACCACAGACTGAAATGTACTGCACAGCGGAACTGCTGAGAATCACACAGGTCCCGCCTGACTGGCAATAGTCTTTTGACATCTTTTTCTTCTTTAATTTCTTTTTATTTCTCATCAAGGATAATAAAATCAGAGCAAATTACCGGGGTAAGGCTGGTGAACAAAATCAGAAACTTTGAGCTAAAACCTCCTCAGTCCAGTTTCCTAATGGATAGTGCAGAACAAATTACTGAGACAGAACTTTCCATTCTCTCTATCTGTGAGTAGGCTGTCCTCACAGGAGATAAGCAGTAACATCCTTTTTTTACAAAAGTAGTGCAAAATCTTTTGTTGCAAGGCAGAGTCACAAAACTGAGTCTGTGTAGGGACTGCACTAATAATTCTGCCTCCTCTTGGCTTATAGATGCTCCTCTTGGCAAAACTGTGACTCCTCTCTCCATCACTGCAGCAGGCTGTCTTTTGGTATGAGGGGGTTTCAGTGGCAATACTGGCTTGTAGTGAAATGCAGCCTCCTTCCTTTTATACTTCTCTCACTCTCTTTCTCCTGGCTTTAGTCCCAGATCTGGTTCACTGCCCAGCCCTGTAAACTGAGTCAGTACAATTGTCAGGGTGAAGGGCTGCAAGGAGAGGAGTGAGATGAGGGAGATGGCAAAGGGAGAAGGCAGCAAGATCTCCTTAAGCTGCCAAACTCTCACTTTTCAACAACCCAGAGTTCAAGACTGGCACATTTAGTACAGCCATCATCTCACCCAGCCCCTTTGGCTTAAATTGTCTGTAGTTTATTTACACACCTTCTGGCCTCTATCTTGCTGATGATTGAGAGGAATTGCTGCTGAAGAGGTTATATGTTTTCTTCTTAGACAGGGAGACATGAATCCTCTTCCTTTCACATGGTTTGCTGCAAGATAATGAAATCTTTGAATGAGGAGGAGAACAACATATTAACATATAATTTAAAGCAGTCATGAAGTCATCCACTGGGGACCTCATCATGTATCTCTTGTTAAATGGGGTATGGGATGGCTGGCATGTGTGGGAAAAACAGGGCAAGAGTTCTCAAAGGGAAAGTTTAACCAAGGTGATTATATCTCACCAGCCAGTTTCCTGAACCCTATTCCCAGGAGAGAAGTATCTGAATGCCTGTTTCAGTGGTGATGCACTCCTACACACCAGTCCTAAAACAGCAGAGGTTAACAACATTCAAAGTATCAGCACTGCCCCCTGAGATAAAACACTATCATGATGAAAGCAGCAATTCTCTGGCATCCTTCTGCCTGCAGAATCTGTATAAGCTGGGCTCCACTAAAGGAGCATTACCAATGCAATTATGTGAGTTAAGAGCTGGGTCTTTTGTTGATAAAAGCCCTCATTTAGGTGTAGCTATACACACATAGGCAGGAAGAGTGTGTCTTTAACCTCACTGAGATACAGCAAAAAAACATATCTCTAGCATAGACAAGCCCTTAGGATCAAAAATACATGAATATCTCTTTTTGTGTGTGGCTTATATTACAGGCCTCCACAGAGTGCCCGTCATTGTAATCCTTGAGTAGCAAACAACAATATTTTCCAGCTAGGGAACAGGCTTTGATATTCACAACAGCAACTGGCATTTCTTTGCAGATCAAAACCTGTGGAAGGAAATTCTTTGCCAGATGGAGTCCCAAGGACCACTAGTAGTGTGCCCAGCAACCTGTTATCCATGACAGACAGCCGGTTCTTGCTAATCCTCTCTACTCAAAAAGAGGGCAGTAGCAATCTTTGCCAGTTGAACCTTATCACTGTGGTGTGAAATGTCACTTGCAGGTCAGTGGCTGTTCGTTCTGGCCCCCTCACTCCATTTTACTGCAAAAAGTAATTATCTCACAGTTGATCACTTTAGGAGACTGATCCAGTCCCTCAGCTTTAGTGGTCATGTTAGGAAGGGGCTTGTTCTGAATCCCACAAAAATAAGTAAGAGTATCCAATATGACTGGTTTGATGAGAAACTTATTTAGAGGCAAGTAATTTAATGCACAAAATATTTAATAATTTTGATCCTTTTAACTGCCATCTACAAGTCAGGAGAAAAGTTTTTCAGGAGGGCTGGAAAGTCTTGAAGATCTGAAGAAGGAAATTTCTCTAACCACATGTGAAAGAAAGAAGATGTTTGCTTTAGCATCACATTAATTTAAAAAAGATCCAAATTTTTGGTTAATTTTATTTTTTGAAAAACCTTGTTTTCCTCAACTGGTAAAATATATTAGAGGGAAAACATCTATTTTGTAAGAAAGTCCTTTTTTTTTTTTTCCCCCTCAGTGGCACATTACAAGATCTTCCCTTTTAAAGCATTGAAGGAGTTGGTTTGATGATTCTTTCTGACACCTCAAAGAGCTGAGACTCTGCAAAGAGGTAGTGAAAGGATTAAATAAATTACTTGGTCACTGTGGAAAATCATAGCCAGGGAATCAGAACATCAGGAGCCTGAGGTTTCCATGGCTATTGTATGAGACAGACACCTTCGTCTTGTAACCCATCTAGGATTGCAGTGCTATTTTTTTGAACAAATGGGATCATGGCCAATGATTTACCAGTCTCAATTCTGGAAGTGTAGAAGCCACTCAGTTGTCTCAAAGCCTCAAACAAAGGTAGACAAAAGCTTTGCAAAAAGTCTCATCTGTCCCTACTTAAAATGGAGACTGCTCAATAGCTAAAGAACTGAGCTCTTAGTTATCAAGGGGTATAGTAAAATCCCAAATAATCTGCAGACTATTAGAGGACCAGTAAAGCCTCTGGCTGGGAAGTTATTCAGTGTTCAAAGATTTCCAGTATCCTGTTTCCTAGGTGCCATTAAAAACCCACAGTCTTTAATTCCACAGCAACTTGGCTCCCCCTGTGATACCATTATGTGTACATGGCTGGATGCAAAAAATTGTGCCAGCTCGCACCTGACAGCATATTGCTACACACTGTAGCATGTAAATTAGTCTCTGTGTGTTGACACAAGTCACCCTTCTTCAGTGTCACTTTATTTAAACAACCATACAGTGTGTATTTGCATGTGTATCCGTATGTAGAAGAAACCCTCTCCCCAGTCAGCTCTTCATCCTGCTCACGCTCCTTGCGCCCACAGCACAGCAAACAGCTGAGAGCCCTGGCAAAGTAGGGGGGCCTGAGGGGTTTCCAGAGAGCTGCCAGGGAAGGATGGGGGCTGGGGCTGCTCCGTGACTCCCTCCCAAGCTTCCCGTCTCACTGGAGGCCGCTTGCTTTCATTTCTGGGTGCCTCTGATTTCCTCGTGGATAAAATATTCCTGCTTGGGAGCTGGGTGCAGCCGGTGCTCAGAGACACACCCAAGCCTGTCCTGTGGTGTGTGCATTTCCACCCCAACGGCTTTGTCTGACGCCAAATTGTTCCTCACATTGCCCGACTGTCCTGTCACCTTTGGTAACAGCCGTGTTTGGCAGCCAACCATTTCCTCGCAGACTGGTGAGCTCACGACTGCTTCAAACCCGTGTCAGAGAAGTTTACACGTCCCTTGGAACAGGCTGTTCCTCACCCACACTACAAAGGCCCGATCTGAAGTACAAACCACACAAAATCAATCTGCCGGCAACACTGTGGCCACTTCGCACTGGTTTAGTCCTGTCAAGGATGCAGAAAGGAACTGGAGCTCAGGCTGATCCATTCAGCTGTGAGGCTGGAGGGTGTTGTCCTCCCTCAGCCTGTCTGGTCCCCATGCTACACCCCACCAAGCCAGGGCTCAGCCCAGCAGGATTTCAAGCAACCATTCCAGCAAACTGGGCACTAATGAAATTTTTCTGAAACTTTCTCTGTCTTTTTGATGTAGTTGTTGCTTCCTGTACTCCCATCGTTTGAGCTGTCTCATGTGGTTGCAGAAAATGGAATTGGATGGACCACTGGTAACGTCAGCTCACCATCCAGCAGGCCAGTGACTCAAGGGAAGGGGGAAAGCAGAACCAAAACATCCAGGCTCCCCTTTCTGCTCTTCCACTCGCTGGCTTTTGCATAACTGTGAGCAGGCCGCTCAGTCTTCCCATGTTCTAGTAAAACAGAGACACATCCCTGGAAAATGTATCAAGGCCCTCAAGAGAAGGAATTCTGCAGAGTGAAATGCAGGGATTACTCCTAAATGCTTATTGCTCAGATTTTGGAAAAGAATTGGCTTTACTAGAGCATCCACTATTTCAGGGCTGTCCTTAACAGCCCTGAAAGCCAAGATCCCTCTCCAGTGCCAGCACAATTCCACAGTCATTCACTTCTCTCTATTCACTCTAGGTTAACAAATCACAATTTCTTAAATAGTCCTGCTTTTATGGGAAATTTTGGCCTGGTTGGTGTTTTTTGAAATAAATGTGGCTCCATCCACTTAATGAAAAAAATAGGTTTCATATGTTGGATAATGTATTTCTGGACTTACCCCATGCAAGAAGTCAGTTTATCCAGAACTGCCAAAAGGTTTTCTGCTTGGTTGTCACTGTGTAGGGATCACTGATTACACGTAGTCAAGTGTGAGGTAGAAGTCAGGCTACGTTGCAAAGCCAGATAAAATTACCTTTCTGTTAACAAACTGTGTAAAATTACCCAGTTTGTCTAACCTTGAATTCCTCCTGGTTTCTGGGGAGATTTTGTCCCAAATTCCTTGAACTATATAATGATTGCTATCGTATTTTATTTTGGTTGTGTGCACATGAAGTAGGGCGGACTTGTAATACACCAGGGACTGTGTAGAGCAGCAGCTGTTACACTTTCAAAGAGCATTACTGAGCTTTTTATAGTTGGCTGCAGTTGACATCATGGCTAAATTGAGTCTCGCTCTAAAATATATTCCACCCAGCCTGTGCAACTTTAAAGCCATGCATTGCTGGGAGAAGAGAGGGTCACAGGAAGCAATGCAATACCAGCATGGAAGTAAAAGCACGGGAATGTGTTTGCTTCTTTTTCCTGTATCCAGTAGAAATGGTCTTGAAATATTTCTTCAGGAAGAGCAGCCGCCTCTGGAGAAGACAGGATGAAACCTTTCATCTTGGGATCAGCAATCAAATCTGGCCCAGGTGAGCAGTGACTGACAGCTGGACTGACCTCGCTGTAGGAAGCTCTCTTAGTGCCTCACAGGTGACTGTCCAGATTGAAAGAGGCCAAGTGCTTTTACACTGCTGTCACTGGTGCCACCGTGATGCTGCTGGAACCTGGGTAAAAGCTGCTGCACAGTAAAAATCATTGGTGAGGAACATCACACAACCAAGCCCCTTTCCGGACAGGACCAGCAGCTTCCAGAGCTTTTGGGAGAGATCTCTGCACCATACTTCACTATTAAGAAAATAACAAAGCTAAGTCTGGGGAAAACTTATCCAGAACTCAAGGGTATTGATGATAACGGTCCCTGAGGATGGCACCTGCTGCAGCACAGACTTCCTGGATGAAATCTCTGCATTGCTTTAAATCCTTGCAGGATGGAAAACTGCTGCTGAGGACCTTCTGCAGTAGCCTGAGGGAGAACAGCTGGGAACAAGTTCCATAAACCTGAAGATGAGGACTCACCACACTGATTCAGAACAACTCAAACCTGGCCTGTACTCTGCAATCCCTGTAGCTAACACAAGGGGATTAGGGAATAAGGAAAGTGGGCAAGGGTGGCCCTCCACACTGCAGTGCTCCATGAACTCATCTGGGTTACTACAGTGTATAAAAAGCCACACGCTTCTCCTGCCTGCTAGAGATATGGGGTGAAATACATGATGTGCTTCTTCCCTGTGCCTGCCTGGCATTTCTGGTCAGCTAGCAATGATGACAGCCCTAAGAGCTGAACTCACACTGGAGTCACACATACTAATCAAGTATTTTTCCCCAAAGTATCCAAAGTGTTGCCCGGACTCCTTCCAGGCTCCCTTTTCTCTTTCCATCATCACAGCTGTCAGCCAAAACCAGAGGTCATGATACAAGAATAGGAGCAGCCACTGTGACTGCTGTATGTAACTGGTTTTTTTGCCATGGAATATTCAAGGGACACTTCTGGTTCAATTTCTTTCAAGGGTGACTGCCCATGGGGTACAGGACATGCAAACTAGGGTACAATAAAACAGGGGAGGCTGAAACACTGCTGAATAAAGGTTTAGTGCAGAGGTTTCACCAGTGTTGATTGGATGAGGTCTAGCACTCGAAATGTCCAAACCCACTCCTTACTTATCTGAGTATCTATACTACTGTATTGCTGGATGTACTCCATGTGAATGTCCTGGGTTTCCTGGGGTATCTTTCACAGTTTTACAATCACTGCAACTCCTCTCTGAGTCTGTGACTGAGGACTGTTTGGTTTTTAGCTGTGGTTTCTTCTGAGATCCGAAAAGATCCCATGAGGGAATGTCAGTGTCCTACTATTTCCTGTCCTACTCTGTCCTGACCTGCTCTGTTGCATCTTGCAGGGACCCACCATCCTAGGAAGAAGTCCTTTTAAAAGGCCAAGCCAGGGATATCTAGCCTACCTTTACCAGGAAAGGCTGCAAAATGCAAGGAGACAGTGCATCACCCGTCTGAGAGCCTTCCCTGGGCGTTGGTGAGATGGCCTGCCAAAAATGTCACAGGTAAGAGTTACTGGTACAGCCCTTTTCACAATCTGACACTTGTTTACTGTCTCAAGGGTGTGATGGCACAATTTCTCCTTAAAACTACATGGACACAAGCCTCCTCTGTGCTGCAAAATGCATCATCCTCGTAGCCAAGTGAATCGGCACGTACCCAGTGCAGCAGCCAGGAATGATCAGCGCTGCCTTCCCCCTTCCAAAATGGAAAATTAATTTCTGCTTAAGCAGATGACACCAGCAACCACAGAAGTCTCCCAGCCTCACCCCAAGGTTGTTGCTGTCTTCTGTATGCTTTACTCTCCTTCCTATTCCACATCCAATGGTCAGCTGAATGGTCAGTTCCCAAATGGCCCAAACTCCACCCAGAAGAAGAAAAAAAAAGCCATTATCTAAACTATGGCTATTCTGCAAGTGCTCCAAAGAGCACCTCATTACTCCTTTTTTTTACAATTCATGATTTCTACATCCCTACATGGAGAAAACCAGCAACCCAGACCCACAGAGAGGATTTCACAGGAGTGCCTGTCCTTTTGTCATGAAGAAAAAGTGAATAAGGCTTTCCTATTGTGTGATGTGGTCCATGGTTTCTGCAGCTGCTGAAAACACCAGTCAGAGTTTGAGAACTGACCCTGGGAAGTATGGAGAGAGAAGTTCACGCAGACCTGGAATGCATGATCTGGTATTCTGCAGCTCTTTGTGCATACACATTTCATATAGTCCTAAGTAAAATTCCCACCTGAAACCAGCTTTAAATCGTCAGTTAGCCAAAGGAATCTGGTGAAGCTGCACTGCTGCAAGATTAGATAAGGGCCTGGAGAGCAGGAAACAGGCACCAATCTAGCTCTGGAATAGGGATCTTCTAGGAACAACCCCATGTGTCTCTGCCACCATCCCATGAACCTTCCCTTCAGCAGTAGAGCCACAGGCAAGTTACAGTGGCATTTGATGTATATGTTTGGACAGCCCAGACTTGTTTTTTCACTGTAAATGGCAACTTGCTGCTGTGCAAAGCTGAAATGCAAAGATTTGTTTGAGATGAAGGAGGTCAGGTTGGTCGGATGAGGAAAGAGTGCAACACACAGGGGTTTGCTTGCTTGGGCAACTGTGTGGCTCTCTGCATCTCAGTTAGAAATTATCAGTCCCTCAAGCAGGAGCCTGCTCCATGCAGCCAGAGGAGAGATGACCATTTGGCTGAAGAGATGTAAAATCAAGCTCTGTGGGCAGGGTCTTCAGTCTGTCAGGATTTTCAGTGGTAGCAGGTGCCCTGTTTCTCTTGGACTGATCTATACATGCCAGGAGTCCTGCTGCCTTGCCTAATAAGAAATACAAAACATGGAGGAAGGACAGTTCAACCAAGAGAGCTTAATCAAAGGAAATTCCTTATCTTCTCCCTTCTGCCCTTATCCTAGCAAGATTTGAGAGAAATACAGCCTTTTTGAAATGCTAGAAAACCATGAATGCTGCTATGCTGGCACTGACCAAGACACACAAACTGTGAAACACCGAGGTGATGCTGTGATTGATGTGATATCATGCCCACTTTTGCAATTTTCAGCCATGAAGACTTTGTCTACAGCCACACTTCAGGCAGTGTCAGTGAGCCCAACCGTGGTGACAAAAGAGGACAGCAGCGGTAGAACTGTAAATAGAAACCTACACTACGATGCTGCTGCACTCTTTTTTGATCACTCAGCCTTGCAGCAAACTCTCATTTCTCCTTTGTGCATTCTCTTACCTGAAATACCTTAGGACAGCCTCCCACATGTCAAAATATGGCTGCAAAAGAGGAAAAACGTGATCTCATAAAGATATGGGGGGTGGCTAAGATGTCAGTAGAGAGCTGCTGTGATCACTGCCACCTGGAGTCACTCTCCAGTCTTGGATTGCAGTTGTCTCACTTGGAATAATGAATTTATTTGCTCTTTGGCATGTGTCCAGCAGCATGGAGAACCTTCCAGGGCAGGGAAGAAAAGCTGTCAAGGAGAGAAGTATTAAATCCCCCAAGTAACATGTGCAAGACAAGACTGGTCACATGCAAAAGAGAGGGGTAAAAATCAAGGGGACTAAAAGATAGTGGAGAAAGAGATAAAAGTACCAATAAAAGGAAAGAGAAGAAGACCTTTAGATAACAAAGGAGAGGATTAGAATATGGAGGTGACAAGGGTGTGCCCTTGGCAAACAGGGCCCAAGTCAAATAGAAAAATAATCCTGCCAGAAATCAAAAGCAGAGGAGCTGAGCTTGAATAATAGGGGAAGAAAAACAGCTGTCATGTAAAATGGGAATGAGAGAACGAGGCATTTTGAATGTCTAGGGCAGGAGCTGCCTGAGCAGGGCAGCCCAGAGGGTGCTGGGTGGAGGGCAGGGATGCCTCAGAGAGCGTATTTGCAGAGAGGAGTGAGGCAACATGCAGGATGCTATCAGACAGCTTATCTGGGATGGTTGAGGCAGGAGGATGGATAGTGGGGGAGGAAGATGGAGATACTTTTCTATGCAAATATATGGTGCTTCTGTGTGAGTCAGACACCAGAAAATTGTGCTGTGGGCTTACAAAAGTCAAGATAACCCACAGAAATAATGTCTACCAAGTTTGTTGGATGGCATTTTCTTTTTCTTTTCTTCAGTGTGACTTTAAATAGCAAAGAAATGTGAGTCAATTCATGCACAGAAGAGAATTACTTCATCAAATGGCATATTAACCACTGCACTCCCCAGCTATGATCACCTGAAACTGCTGATTTAATGATCAGCTACAAATCCCCAGCTCAGGTGGAGCTTCCCACCCTCCATTACATATTCAACCTGAAAATCTACCAAACTGTACAGAGGCTTGAAATTCTTTGAAATGAAAGAGCCCAGAAAAAATGCAAGAACAAACCAAAATGTTTTTTTTGCAAATGCCATGATACACAAGAGACTAAGAATCTCTCATCTCCAAAACTAATCAGAAAAGAGGATGGGAAACATTTAGAATAGATGATAAGTCTGAAGCCGGAGCACTGACCTTGGCACATGCCTGAGAAGCAGCAGGGAAGCACAGAGAAGCCAGCTGAAGAAATCTCCAGTCAGTGTCACTCAGAGAGGGAAGATTTGTGGGGTTTAATAGCACCAGGGCAGCCAAGGGCAGAGAAAGACAGTAAATCTGTGTTCATATTGAAACAGGCATCTGACCTTACTGGGAAAGTTCAGATGTTTTGCTTTCTGGTTTTGAAACACTGGAGCAAAATTTGCTTCACATTTGGATCCTTTTCTCAATAACCATGAGACACAAGCTTTGACAAAGAAAAAAAAAAAAAGGTAAAATTCTCATAAAACCCCATTAATTTCAGCAGCTCAGGCACTCAGATACCAAACACTGCAGGACAGAAACAGAGAATCTTGTGACTGGCATTTGCTAAGTTGGAGTAGAAGGAAGAGCTCACCACATGCACGGGATGATGATTAGGGTTTAGGAGTCTGCCAAGAAAAGGTACAAAACAGTATCTTAACACTGCTTGCTGAGGCCAAGGAGCCTGAAAAGGGAAGAGAGGGGACTGTTTGGAAAATTTTTGGTGTTAAAAGAGGATGTGGCCTTTCTGCTATCAATCACCCAGCCTTCCCCTGCCCGCCCTGCCCTGTGTGAGTATTCTGGATGCACTCTGGAAGGTTGCCTCTCCTAAGCAGGTGCTGTACAAAAGGGAGGTAAACAGGGTCTTTTTCCTTAGATTTTCTGTTCTTCTTTCTTCTTTCATTCATCTGCAGAGATAGAGTTTTTTCCTTTGCTTGCACAGTGAATTAATGGCAGATTACTGAGTGTTCAGATAACTCAGTTATCTTATACGGACAACCACCTGCATCAAC